CGGGGAGTTTTGCGGAGGTGTCGTTGTTGTTTCCGTAGCGGTAGGGAGTCGCGACTGTAAATGGTGTTAGTCCGAACTTCTTTGCGACAACGCCTGCGTACTTTCCAGCGTATAGGTAGAACGCTAAGTTGTCTTCGACGACGTTCAGACCCAGGTACTGGGTTACGGTGTCTGACACCGTGAGTGTCAGGTCCCTTTTCAGCTCCCCTTCGAACCAGGTGGCGATGTCAGTAGTGGAGCCGATGTAGAGCAGGTCGTCGACGTAGACGATGAGTAGAATGAATTCTCTTTCCTTCTGTAGTCGGTACATGCCTTGGTCGTGTGGCAGTTGTAGGAATCCGATTCTGACGAGGCGACCGTGAAGGTGCTGCTGCCAAAGCCGCGGGGCTTGCTTGATCCCGTAAAGGGATTTTATCAGCTGGCACACTTTTGTAGGGTCGTCGATGAATCCGTGGGGCTGCTCGACGAAGATCTCGGCGTCCACATGTGCGTACAGGAAAGCATTTGCGACGTCGATTTGGCGCAGTGGTAGTTTCTTCGTGGCCGCGACAGCGAGTAGGATGCGCAGGGAGGTGTGACGGGAGACTGGGGCAAAGGTTTATGTGTAGTCGGTTCCGTATCGTTGATCGAAGCCTCGTACGACCCATCGAGCTTTGAATCGTTCGATGGAGCCGTCCGCGTTGGTCTTGATGCGGTACACCCACTTTCCCGAGAGGACGTTCTTCCCGTTGATGTTTGTTGCAGGTACCAACTTCCATGTATTTCGGTCTTGCAGAGCTTTTAGTTCCTTTTCCATCACCTCCTTCCATTTCGCCTTATGTTCCCCCCCCCAGAGCCTGCGACAGAGTCGATGGCTCGCGCGGAGATGGCGGCGGCGGATGCTGGACGGAGACCCATAGGCCGAGGATCTGCAGTCCCGTGGGTGTGTGTCGAGGGGAATTTTCATTCCCGGAATAAGCTGCTTCGTCACCATCTTCTGGATCAGGTAAGAAGTTTGGGCCGATGCGTTCTGAAACATTCGTGTCGACCGGGTGGGGTGTAACGTAACCTTGGTCAGCGAAGTGGTAAAAGGTGTCGAGGTTGTTGCTATCGAGAGGATTGTCTTCGTCGAGTGGAACAGGTACGGAACAGAAAGGGAGTGGTCCGGCAGCTTCCGAGGCTCCACGTACGTCTTCTTCTGCTGCGTCAGCCTCGGCAGCATGGTCGGCGAAGGAACGAAGGCCCGCGAGGCCGTCGGTGGGGTCGTGTGTGTTGGCAATGTTGTCCAGGTAATGCTGCAGCGTTAGTCGCTCGTAGAAGATAACATCACGTGATGCCACGGTAGTTTTGTCTTGTATGTCGAGGATTTTCCATGCATGAAAATGTTTGGCGATGCCGAGGTGTAGTCCCCACCGAGCTCGTTGAGTGAAGCGTCCTGCTCGGGCTGTGTGGGGTCTGTACTATACCATGCAGCCGAAAACTCGAAGTAATTTTGTGCTGCCCCTTTTTCGTGTCCACAGCAGGTGCGGTGATGCGTTGTTGGGAAGCGATGACGAGGACAACAGATTGTGCAGGTGGACTGCATGTGTCATCGCGTCTGGCCACAGTGTGGTGGGCAGTCTCATCCCCAGGAGCAGCTTTCGCATCGTCGTCTGCAAGGTCCGGTTCATGCGTTCTGCGACCCCCTGCTGCTGGTGAGCGTAGGGCAGAGACACCAGGCGTCTGATTCCTCTTTCCGCCAGATAGGTCCTGAAGCGTTGTGACTGGTATTCCAGTGCACCGTCTGACTGGAAGCTCTTTAGCTTGGTTCCTGATTCTCGTTCGGCGATGGGGAGCCATGTCGTGAAGGCGTCGAAGGCTTGATCGCGCGTCTTGAGGTTGTAGTGCCAGACGTATCTTGTTGCTGCGTCGATAAACGTGATGACATAGTTGAAGTCGGCTTCAGTGTCTTCTCGAGGCATGTTTAAAATGTCACTGTAGACTTTTTCCATCGGTGCGTATGCAGGTGCGCTTGGGTTGTGATGGGATGGAAAAGGCTGGTGGGGAAGATCGGTTTCGGGGCACGTAAAGCACCGTGCGCGTGGTCGTCGAAGTTCTTGGCCGCTCGTTGTAAGGAGAGCGTTTCGTTCTAACACTTTCGCTTGGATGGTTTGCAGTATTGTACTGTTTGCAGGATGTCCGAGACGTTGGTGCCAGATGTCGTCGGGAGCGCGATGGCCGGGCGAGCGGTGGTATATGTCGCTGTTGGAGAAGAACGCGACGACCGTGGCGGGACTGCGGCAGACTTCTCGTGTGATGGGCATAAGTTGATCTGCTTCGGTTGGCGATCCTCGGATCGCTGGTGGTGGTACTCGGCTGGATCTTGCCGCTGCTACTGCAGGTGATGGTTGGGAAGGAACACTTGCTGGTACTTGTCTTTCTTGTCTGATGACTGCTAACGCTCGTGTTCTTTCTGCTGCAGGTATGGTGTTGGAGTACCAGAATCCATCGGGGTTGAAGTCGGGGTCAAGATCCAGCGGGTGTGTCCAGGCGGCGAACGACACGATCCCATCGCTGTCGGCAGTACCTCGGTCGGGGACGAAGTCCAACACGAAGACGCCGGATTTCAGGAGAGCACGACCGATGAAGAGGCCGCCCTTCCCGTGGTAAAGGCGAAACTCGTTGGAGTCCGAGTCGCACTCCAGGTGAATTCTTTTTGCCATTAGCTGGCTAACGCTTAGCAGATTGTATCCCAAGTTGTCAACGATTAAGACCTTGTTGAGTTGAAGGATGACATTAGTTTCCATGGACTGTAACTGAACCACCCCTTGTCTGTTTGTTTTCAGGTTCTCGTTGTTGGCGACGGTGATGATGACGTCGCGGTTGAGGCATCGCTCTCGTTGCACGAAGCGTCCGGAAGAACACATGTGTTGACCGCAGCAGCTGTCCAAGAACCAGGTGTTTCGCCCGGTGGGTTCAGCGTTGGCGACCGCAGCGTATGTCGGGTTGACCTGAAGTCCTTGTGAGCGCGGCGGCGGGAATTCTTCTTCGTCTGGCGCGTAACTGGGTGGTGATCCGGGTGCGCAGTTGTCGATGTGTACCATGCAGTTGATGATGTTCGGTGTCCCTTGTGCAGATGTGGTAGAACGTCTTGGAGGGCTTTCTTGAGTGGAGGCAACTTGTGGGTCTACTGGACGATAGACACGAGGACGTGTGCAGTTGACTTTGGAATGTCCGGATGTTTGACAGTCGTGGCAGAACGGCGGCACGATGGTGAGTCCTCTGTTGTCGCGTTGATCTTGCTTGCCGCGTCGATTGTAGTTGTTGTCGTTCCTTCGTTGAGTGTAGAAAACTAACTGCTGCTGCTTTCTTGGTTGTCTTTCTTCGAACAGGTCCATCTCCTGTTGTTCAGCATGAAGCTCTGCGCAGAGGTGCATCTCCGAGATCATTCCGTGGGCGCGAAGAAGCGAGCGTGTGGTTCTCCATTCTGGCCCGAGCCCGGCGAGGACAAGCGTCACGAAGCTTTCTTCAGTGATTGTTCCTCCGCACCGAAGCAGGCGGTCGCGGAGTGTTTGGCATCGACTCATATACTGCATCGCCTTTTCCTCGGTCTTCATCTGTATTGTTGTCAGCTGTTGCATGAGTCTGCTTTGTGTCACGCTGTCGTTTGCTTGATAGAGACACTTGAGATGATGCCATGGGAGTTCCGCGGAGTTTCCATAGCTCCGATACGTTCTGATGCTCTGCTGTTCTTGTGGTGACAGGTTCCGCAGGAGAACTGTATACGCCAGCAGCGACTGGTACGTGAAGATTTCTTGCTCCTTTCCAGTGCCGTTGCTTGGGAATGGCAGGGACCCCTTGAAGTATCCCAAGAGATGCGCAGCCTCCATCAGCAGCTCGAACTCAAAGCTCCAGGTAAAGAAGTCCTGTCCGTTGAACGGTGAGGATGTCTGTAACTTGATTACGTGTAAAAACTGCGCCTGGAGACTCAAAATCTCATTTGGTGTCTGTTGTGATGCAGCTGCTGTTGGTTGGGCACGGGGCGGCATGAACTCGAATGTCCCCGGTGAAGAGTGATAAGGCGCAAAGGTAGGCGCTTGATTGTGTCGCCCGAACGATGAATTGTTGAGGCTCATCGGCGCTAATCCCATGTTTCATCCGTTGCTCTGTGTTGAATGCGCAGGTGTCCTTGTCTGCTGCTGCTGGTCGAAGTGCGACATGAAGCTGAAGAACCTTTCCATAAGGTTCGGATCCACGCTTGAAGAGGGTGATGGAGTCAGCATTTCCGGTGCTCTTCCTGTTGTTTCTTGAGCAGCGCCGGTCTCGGTTTGCAGTCCTGAAGTGTGCAATCCAGAGTTGCCGGTTTGAGTGTCTTGGGCGCTGGGTGAGCCCGTAGAGATTTTCTTGCCCTTGCTGTCCATGACTTGTAATCAATGAAGTCGTTTGAATTGCAGATTGTAGATAGAGCGTAGTTGCTGGGAGTTTGGTCTCTGACCAGCTCTCATACCATGTTGGGCTGAGAAAAGCCCTTAGGATCTTTCCAGAGACTAAGTCCCAGTTGAAGAATGAGACTTGAGTAGTGCAGCGGAAGTTTGAGTAGTTGAACCCTTGTACTAGTATATGAGAACAAGTGATTGATTAAAGTGAACAAGCATACAGCAATATATAGAAAGTAGAAAACAAGCAGTTGTAGAATACAGTTGAATGGCGGTTTATCGAGTCGCACAGCGACTCGATTGTCGCTTCGGTTACCATTCTTGCAGTTGTAACGGTCAGTCGCAACCTCCGGTTGCGACCCTTCGAGTCCTTTCGTGTTCTTTGTCCACCCCCTCGTGTAACCTCCGTTGACTCGCGTACTCGTTACGATCTTCCTCGAGTGTGATGTTACACTTCAGAAACGCTTAAGTCCTTAAGATATTTCCAACACAGCGGAACTAGAGCGCAAGACTCAGGATCGTTGGCTCTGATAGCCAGGTGTAATGAAGCGCAAAGAGCGTGCGTCGAAGGATTGAGTAACGAGGAAACAATACAACCGAGGCAACATCAAAACAACAGGGATCATGGATATAGCTAGCCTAGAGCACCCGGTCGTGGCTCGGCAGAGCTGCGACGTGTGGTTTGTAAATTGGCGCGAATCGCCCAGATCTAGGCATGAAACAACAAGGCGGGCAAATTGCATGCGGCTCGTCAGGAGGCCACATTTAGGTACTACGATTTGAATTTAGTGGAAGAGCTGCGTGGCAACTCCGTTATAGCAGTGTGTAATAAGGAAATACCATTTCCTTACAGTGACCCGCATCCGATCCGAGCCACCAAAGCATGTGCACGAAGGCACCTTCTGCACAACACTCCTCCGAGAATTCGACATTTTGAATTGCCATTATTTGGCGGGCTGCTTTGCCTCCGAATTCGCCGGGCGCCTGCCACGACAACCCAACCAGCCAAAGACCACTCTGCTGCAAGCGCAGTTCCTGCGCTCGGGCCCCCTTCGCGCCGCGCCAAGTCATTTCCCGTCCGCGTCGTTGGCGGCGGCGGGGAATTTCGCTCTCCCTCCGCAGAGCCACTCTCTCACAGCTCCCCCATCTGCAGTGGCAGGCTGGCACTGCATGTGTCTCTCTCGCTCGCTGCTCCAACATGCACGCAATTCTCGAGGAGTAAAGTCTCACGCCTAACTCCAGTCACAGGTCACTGCCAGCAGCTATCGATCACGCACAAACAAAGCGCAATATGCCCGTCCGTGTAACCTGGCTGCACGTGTGTCTCACCTCACAGTAGTCCCAGCCAGCACTAGTCTCTGCTGCGATTCCTAGTCGATGCTGCGGAGATTCCATATTCTTTTAGTTTTCCTGTAGGGCTCGAAAAGATGGTGGTGGAGCTAGTGGAGCTCGAGAATGGCGCCATCACGCCGTCGTACCTGCGCGAGGTGCTGGCTCTGCTCGCCTCGTCGTCGCACCAGCACCGCACTCAAGGTTACACCAAGTGAGTCCGGCTGCTAGTCACCGCTTCGCTAAGCGGTCGTCCCTCTGGCGTGCGCTGATCGTTGTGCATGCTCGTCCCTCCCAGCGCGGCGCTGACACGCAGATCTTATGTGTCGTTCCGCGTGTCCCGCCGTCCCTCCAGGCTGCTCCACCTTCAGATGCAGAGCGACACCGGCGGCGACGGCACGGCGGCCGAGATGCTGCAGCACCACCTGGCGGAGCTGCTCGGGGTGCTGCGGCCCGACATCCTCTCCACCGCCGCCGACATGTACTCTTCCTCTCCCCTTCTCGCCCTCTCCTTCCCCTCGCGCTCTCCTAGGAATGCTTTGCGAGCTCGCACGCTCCGCGCATTAGAGTATGGTCCCGACGTGGCTGCTGATTTTCTCCTTGGTCTCTCGGCGCTTCTTGGAGCTACCGCCGGTAGGCACGTGCAGCGGAGCGCACCGTCCCAGGTGCCATGCGCTCTTAACGCAACGAGCGCACCTCTAGCGTTCCTCCTGTCTCCGCCACCTAGTCACGGCTTGTGAAGACAGCGCTTTCAAAAGCTGAGGGAGACCCAGAAGCTTGGGCGTGGCTGGTAGTGCGTGCCGCGACCTCGAGTTGGGGTTGGTTGCGAGCACTGCGCTTTCGGCGACCACCTCTCGGTTGCTCGCCTCACTCCTCTGCCAAAACGAGAGCTGCTCGCCGAGTCCATCGGCCCCTTGGCTTTGGCTCGCGCAATCGTGGCGGCGTTCTGATTCCCGGTGCCGTGTTGGAATCTCTCCCCCCCGCTTCCCCGTGTGTCGTGCCGTGGTCCCCATGCGTGTGACGTCAGATGCGTGTACGCCATGAAGTGCGCCGCCTTCTTCCTCCACCACCCCGTCTTCGCCAACCATGCCTCCGGTACGCCTGCACCCCCTCCCCTCCACTGCTGCTCCTCCCCATTCGTCTGCCCTTGTGCTTGCTGCACTCCTTCCGTCATTTGAGACGCAACGTGGCTCGGTGCACAGCGGTTGGGTGGAGTGCTAGGTCAAGTGCTGAGGGGCCGTGTTGTGTGCGTGGTTGCTGTGCGCGCAGATGCGGACGTGAGCGCGACAGTAAAGGCCATTCTCCAGGCGATCATGACCACCAGCGATAAGGTCAGTGCGTCGTCAGCTCGTCCTTGAGTCCGCGCACGGTCTCACCGCTCGCTGCGTTGCTCACGCGACTCCCGCCCATCCCGTCCGTCCCACGCCGCGCCGCAGGTGGTGTGCAATCTGGCGGTGTGGTGCGTGTCACAGCAGAACGTGCGCGCGCCGCTGCTGGCGCAGCTGCTGCCGTCCGTGCTGCGCGCGCTGGTGCATGGCATCGCCAACCCCATGGCGTCGCACGCCATCTCCTGCGAGGCCTGCAAGGTGCGCCGTCTCCCGCCGCCCCCTCCCCCCTCTCACCCATCGCCCTCGCGCCCCCCCCGCACGCCCCTCCTCGCACGTCGTTCGCACTTTCCCCGCATCTCGTCTTCCAATCGCCGTGCCTCGAATGCCCCGGACTGCCTGAAGGCGCCTCTCGACGCCTCACCCCTTGCTTCCCCTTCCTGCGCCATCCCCTCCCCCCCCCACCCTCCCTTCGTTGGCGTCTCGCCTCCTTACCCGTCCACCGCGCTCCCCCCACGTCTCTCCGCGTAGGCCGTGCGCGTGCTGGCGCTGCAGCTGCCGCAGGAGATGCGGCAGCACGCGCACGTGTGGGCCGTGCCCATGTGGCGGCGCCTGCTCGTGGCGTCGCACCGCAAGGAGCGCGACCTCATCCACGCCACGCTCTCGCTCGCCGCTACGCGCCGAGTGCTGCTGCCGCCCTCGCCGCTCGTCGTCAAGGTGCGCCGCCTCTCGCGCGCCATCACCTCCTTTCCGCTCTTTCGACCTTGTCGCTCCGTGCTGCGTGCGATGCCTTGACCCGTTGCCCTAACTGTGGTTGTCCCCCGTGCCGTGGGTGCCGTGCGTGGCGTGCAGGCCATGCTGGACGAGGTGAAGGGCGGCGCGGTGCAGCGCATGGACGCCATGCTGGGCGACGTGCTCCACATGCCGCCCGTTGTGCTCGCGTGGGCGTGGCTCGTGCGCCTCACGGGCGCCACCCTGGCGGACAAGGGCAGCACGGCCCTCGCGAACGCGCTGCTCAAGGTGCCCGAGCGCACCTTCATGGCGCCCGACGCCGCCGTGCGCGCCGAGACGCACATGGCGTGGCAGGCGCTCATCGACGCCTTCGCGCCGCCGCTCCCTTCCGCGGACGCGCCGCTCGCCGCGGCTGCGCTCGAGGGGGGCAAGCGGAGCGTTACGTCTCGCTCGCCCACTCACAGTGCGTGCTGCTGCTGCTGGCGTCTCAAATTCTGCTGCTGGCGTCTCAAATTTGCTGTCTCGTACACATAGTCAGCAGATTCTCTCCCCTTCTTCTCCCATCGTCTTCAGATTACCTCTCTTCCCTTGTTGCCTGACGTCACACCATTGCTTCTCCCCCCCCCCTCTCCCCCACCCTTGCTTCCCCCTCTTCCCGCCCCCCAGAGTCCCCCGCCAGCACGCCCTTCCAGCGCGGGCGAGGCGCAATGGTGGCAGCGCCATCGCCGAAGCGCCTCACGCTGCTCATGGCGCCGCTCATCACCACCGCGGCGCACGAGGCCGATTCCGCAGTGCGCGGCGCCGCGCTGCACTCGTGGTGCCACCTGCTGGGGTCGCTGGGCCCCTGGGCGTCGTCCGCCGCCGTCTTTTCCGCCGCCGCCACCCCCATGCTCCGCATCGTGCTCCGCCGCGGGCCCTACCGCCCGGCGCAGGGGGCGGAGTCGCTGGCGGGAGAGGCGCAGGCGTGGGAGTGGGCGGGATGCCTGAAGCTGCTAGAGGGCTTTATCGCCACCACAGGCGCACCGGGGGAAGCGGAAGGGGGATTGACCGGAGGGGTGTCGCGGGAAGCGATCAAGGACGCGGGCGCGGGGAAGCTGTTGCGCGCGGGCAAGGCGGACAGCGGCGGGGAGAGCGGCGCGCTGGTGCCCGTGGAGGGAGCGGCTAAGGCGGGGACGCTGGTGTCGGTGGCGGCGAAGGGCGCGTGGCAGGTGTCGGAGGGGCAGGGGGGCGCGTTGGAGCGCAAGTACGACAGGCGGCACGCGGCGGCCGCCATAGTGACGACGGTGGAGTGGGCGCCGTGGCAGGTGGAGCAGCTGCGCGAGCTCCTGGGGCTGCTCGACGTCGTCGTGCGACATGCCTGCGACCCCAGCGACGTCGCTCGCGACGAGCGCAGCGAAGGGAGAATGGCGCTGGAAGGCGCGGCGCACGGTGCAGCTCGGGCGCAGGAGGATGGGCGGGTGGCGGAACCCGCGCGATTGGGCGCAGGGAAGGCGAAGGAAGGGGAGGCGGAGAGCAAGGCTGTGGAGGTGAGGGGCGAGTTGGCGGTGGCCGCCAGGCGGAGTGCGGACGAGGACGCGGAGGAAGACAGCGAGGGGACCGTGCAGGTGATGATGGCGGAAGCTCAGCAGCGCGCGGGGCCTCCGCAAGTCCGCGCGTCCGAGGCCTCCGTGCGCCTGTGGGCGCATCTGGTGCGCGGAGTGGAGGCGCTGGGGCGCGGCGCAGTGCGGCCGAGCGCGGAGCACGTGGCGGCGGTGCACCTGCTGCTGGAGTTCCTGCACGGGCTGCTGGGGCTGCCCGCCATGGCGGACAGCGCCGCGCACGCCGGAGGCGAGGGCGAGGGCGAGGCGGCGTGGCTGGCGGGGTGGTTCGACCTGTGCTGGGAGTTCACGCGCGCGCTCACCCGCCACCTCACGCCGCTGCTCATGGCGTCGTCCTTCTACCGCCTCGCCCTCGCCAAGCCCACCTGCCTGCCCCTCGCCGCCGCCGCCGCTGCCGACGTTCCTGTCTCCCCCAAGACTCCGACCAGTGGCACCGCCGCCGCTCACCGCCTGCATGGCGCAGCAGCTGGGGGAGCGGCAGGAGGCCGCAGCGGGAGCACGAGTGGCAGCAGCGCGACGGGTGTGGCTCGGCGCGCAGCAGTGCCGGCCGTGTTCGTGACGGCGCTGTGGGTAGATGCAGGCATCACCTTTGGAACCCACGTGACAGGTGGCGCGCAGGGATTGGCTCAGCGCGCGGAGGAGCTGGTGGCGGCGGCGGTGCAGGGCGCGGACGCGAGCAGCCGCCTGGTGGGCGTGCTGCGGGCGCTCGAGCATTTCCTGCCCTCCCTTACCGCCGCCCACGCCCCCGCCTCTCCCACTGCGCGGAAAGCAGGCACTAGCACGGCAGGGGCGGCGGGACGGTGGGCGGTGGAGCAGCGGCGGGGAGAGGTGGTGCTGTGCGTGTGGGGCGTGCTGGCGCGGCGACTGGCGCACGAGCTGACGGAGGGCAGCAGCACGGGGGCGGGGTTGGCGGGGCAGGGGCAGCAGAGCAGCGGCAAGGCGGGGATAGCAGGTGGCGCAGATGGCAAGGCAGAGGGCGCGGCTGCCGTGGCCCCGCCACTGCTCTCCTTTGCGCTCTCGTTCCTCTCAGCCGCCGCTGCTTGCGAGTCACAAGGAAAGGCGCATTCTCTGTGTGACGCAACGGCAGCATCATCAGCATCAGCACCGGCAGCGGCATGTGAGTGCGCGTGGTGCATCCCGGCATCGCTTCTCCGCGAGTTGGTGCGGGACACGGAGCACCTCATCGGCGCGCTGCTGCACTCGCCCGCTCTCAGGTCGCCGCACCACCCCAACGCGCCCCTCACACCTCTCTTCGCCGCGCTCGCTGCAGCCGCACACTGCGACACTACCGCCACCGCCACACCCACCACCACCTCCACCTCCACTGCTGCTGCTGCTGCGCCCTCTGCACGGTCGTCCGCCAGTATCCCCGCTCTCCCTTCCCCCGCTGTGCGAGCGCCCCCCGGGCGCGTGTCGGCGGCGGAGGCGTGGTGGGAGGTGGCGGTGCGCGCGAGCGAGGTGGGCGCGGAGCGCATGGATCTGGCGGCCGCGCTGCCCGCCATCGCCGTCACCATGGCGGGGCAGCGCCGCCGCCTCTCCGCGCTGCGCCCGTCCGCCGCCGCTGGCGACGTGGCGAAGGGGCTGCACGCGGGCAAGGACGAGGACCCGCGCGGGGTGGCGGAGGTGGCGCGCGCTGTGGGCGCGCTGGTGGTGGGCGCATGCAGAATGGTAGAGCGGGGGGGGGCGGAGGAGGAGGGCAGAGAGGTGGGCGCGGAGAAGATGCGGAGGACAGTGGCGGTGCTGGCGTCCCTGGCGGCGCACATCACGTGCCCCTCCGACTCCCTCCTGCTGCTGCACGCCGCCCTCCCCGCCCTCACCACCGCGCTCTCCCTCGCCTGGTCGCCCCCCGTCCCCGCTGCTGCCGCTTCCACCGCGCCCTCGCCCAGGCACCCAAGCATTGCAGCGGGTGCGGGTGCGGGCGCGCAGAGCGTGGGCAGCAGCAGGGAGCAGTGGCAGGAGGCGGTGAAGGCGGCGCAGTGGGGCGTGCTGGACGGGGTGAAGGGCAGCGTGGCGGACGCCTGGGGCGCCGTGCTGGGCATGCTGGAGTCGTGCCAGCCGCCCACCGCCTGGTGCTCCTCCGCGCTGCTGCCCGCCCTTGCGCCGGCGCTCGCCGTCGCGCTGCTGCACCCGCACCCCGCCATCGCCACGCGCTCCCTGGCGTTCTGGCAGGCCACGTTCGGCGGGGTGGTGGAGCACGCAAGCGCGCACGCAGCAGCCAAGGCCGTGGGCGTTCGCGGTGGGGCTGCCACTGAGAAGAAGGCCTTGGTGTACCCGCCACAGCTGCTGACCTCGCTCGCCATAGTGAAAGAGGCTGCTGACGTGTCGCTGCCTTACTGGCCCGCCGCAAGCAAGGAGGCGAAGTCTTTGAGCAAGGATGGGAGTGGGGGCAAGGCGACTGGGCCCCTGGCGGCGGGAGTAAGGTCGGGGTCAGCTCGAGTAGCTCCCAGTGACGTGCTGCTGTCAGCGCGGGGCAGACTCATGCAGCAGCAGCACAGCCAGGCGGCGGCCAAGGCAGCAAGACCCGCGTCACCTGTGAGGTCCACTGGAGTGGCTGCTGCTGCTGCAAGGGCAGACGCAAAGGCAGCAGGGGCAGGCAGAGCAGGTGCAGCTGGTGCAGGGCCGTCTCAGAGCAAGGAGGGCACTCCTCGCCCTGCCAGCCCTTCTGCTGTGCGACCAGCCAGCCCCTCACGTGCAGGCAGTGCAGCTGTACGCACAACAGCTACAGGAGCAGCAGCAGCAGCAGCAGGCAGCAGTGGCACGAGAAGTGGGCATGAGAACCGCGAGTCAGCACGAGCACCGGCTTCAGCAGCAGCAGCAGCGCGGCCAGCGTCCCCTGTGCGCAAGTCTATGTCGCGCCTGCTGTCCCTGTCCCGACAGCACTCCCTGGACCGCAAACCACCACCTCCCACGCCCGCCCCCTCTGCTGCCCGCACCGCTGCTGTCAGCATGGGCAGTCTCAGGGGCACAGGCAGGAGCACGGCAGGGGGTGGGGCAGGTGGCATAGGCTCGGGAGTAAGCGAGACTAAGAGTGCTGTGGCTACAGGCAGCACCGCCACACCAAAGAGCACCATCACAACCACACCCACCACCCAACCCATTTCAAATTCTACCACCCCCAGCACCCCCAGCACCCCACGCACCCCCACCACGCCTACCACCCCCACCACGCCCACCACCCCAGCGAGTGGTCGCAGCGCTGCATCCCGCCCGCCCTCCCCTCTGCGCGCCACAGGCAGGGCTCTGCTGGCAATGGCTCTCAAGGGCGGCAGCAGTGCTGCAGCGGCCAAGGCACCTGCCTCGCCCACTCACCGCAGACCCTCAAGCCCCGGCCCCAGCGCAGGCCGTGCCGCCACCGGTGGGGGGAGTGCGAAGGAGGTGGGGAATAGCAGCAGCGGTGGCAGCAGCAGCAGCGGTGGCAGCAGCGGCAGCGGCGCAGTGAAGAGCATGCGGTCGCTGGCGTCCAGCCTGAGGTCGCTGCTGCCGCACAGGGCGGGCAGCAGCACCCCGGGCAAGCACGCACACCCCACCTCGCCCAAGAGTAGCACGAGCAAACCAGTGGAGGCAGGGTCGGCCACTCGGCCAGCAGCAGGTGCAGCGAGGACTGGCAGCACTGGCGGTGTGAGTAGCGAGAGCGGCAGAGGGAAGGGGGCAAGCGTTGCAGTGGGTCACATGGGCCGCAGGGAGATAGCTGCAGCCATGGCCGCCAAACGAGGCACGCCTGGCAAGCCAGCCAGCGCTGCCAGCCGGCAGCAGCAGCAGCAGCAGCAGCAGCATGCACAAGAAGCAGGCAGCAGTGGGGTGGCGGCCACTGGCACGCCACATGCATTGGATGGGGCGGCAGCAGCGGACACAATGTGTGCAGACACAGTGATGCAGGCTGCGTCTGGTGTGGGTGTCTTCCAGTCGCTGGGCTCACCTGTGGCCACGGCAGGGGCTGGCAGTGTGGCAGCAGCGGTAGCTGGAGAATGGGGGCGCAGCATGGTGCAGTGCCGCCTGCTGTCGCGCAGAGCAAGGGAGGCAGCAGCATTGGCAGGGGAGGCGCAGGTGGTGGAGGCAGGAGGCAGTGCGGGGGAGGAGGGAGGGGGGAAAGTTTTAGGCAAGCGCAAGGCGGGGGCGTGCCAGGTGCGGGAGCAGGATGCGCGGGCGCTGCTGCAGGCTGCAGTGGTCACTGTGGGCCACAGGAGGGCGCGCAGCGAGAGTGGCAGTGAGGAGGGTGGGGCACAGAGAGGCGGTGTGTCAGCCCAGCCGCAGCAGGTGCAGCAGGCAGCAGCGAAGGCGGTGCGGCGGCGCAAGGCGGGGCGGCGGGCAGCGGTGGCAGTGATGGACGTGGAGGAGGTGGGCGAGGCGATGCGGGCGGTGGTGCATGAGGCGGGCGTGGTGGAGATGCTGCAGGCGGTGAGGGAGGCGGCGGGCATGGACGACATGGACATGGAGGAGCTGGAGGCGGCACAGAGGTGCATCACGGGCATGTCACGCCACATCGCCGCCACCATTGAACGCAGGGCCAAGGCCATGGACCATGATGGCATGGCGGCATGATACAGTGCTGCAGCACCCTGGAACTGGCATGATACTCTGGAAGAAATTTAATTGGCAGTATAAGCAATAGTACAACGCTGCCTACATCATCAGAATTCGTTTGGTTTTGCAGGACTAGCTTTTGCCATTTTTTCATACGTACGGGTTATCGCCAGCCTGTAACCACTTTATAGAGGCCCTTGAGTTGAAACTGTTTCTAGGAATGTTTGCCAGTGTCCCAAACTTTGCCAACACGCTTGAAATGAAACTTGGCAAGTCAAAAATTTACCCAGAAATACTACGTAAGCAAAGTAGCAATCAATGCTGCTCTATTCTTGTTTTTATTAGAAGAAGCTTGGGTGCAGTTTTCAATTCGCCTAGTAAGCAACGCCTTCATCTGCACATACACAAAATGAATACAGTTCCAAGTTTCCCTGCCTGGTGCACCGCTCATCATTGCCCTTCCGCTCGCCGTCATCTGTGTCATTGTCTGGCAGGTAGCCGCGGAGCATTAGCCGCGGAGCATGCGCCGCATCCGGCGGCGGCGGGCAGTCTGGGATGGCGGCGGGGCGGAGAAGCGCGGATGCGAAGGAGCGGAAAGGAAATGGCAGGATGGCGGGAGGGAAGGCAGCAGTAGCGCGTGGGGTAACGGCAAGCGAGGCGGGCGCGTGCTGAGCGCGGTATTGCTTGCGCTCGTGGGCGGGGTGCTGCAAGGCGGACGCCGGTGGCACGGAGGGGTCCTGGAGCTTGCGAGCGCGGACGACGCGAGTGGCAGCGCGGAGCAGGCGCGCGCCCTGTACAGGGTCAGTGGCGGGCGGGCAGTGGCCTTGGCATGTGCGGCACAGTGTAGCGTCGGTGGCAGCTCGCACTCAGGTCAGTCACGCCGCTCCCTCCCCCCTCCCGTCTCCCGTCCTCGCCTCACTCGCACCTCGCTCTTTGCCCCCCCCCACCGCCCACCCCCCCCTCCGCCCGCCCTCTCCCCCCCGCAGTACTGGGAGGGCGCGTACGGCCTCGACCCCTCGTCGCTGCTGCCGCCACCCTCCGTCACTCTACCCCCTGGCGTGCCGCCAGCGCCGCACCTGGAGCAGTGCGCACAGCGGGCGGCATGGCGGGAGCGCATGGAGGCGCGGGGGCGCCACGGGGAGGCGCCCGCGTGGACCCGCCCCTCCGCGTGCGGGGGGGTGCCGCAGCCGCCCTGGGTATGGACGGAGCAGCCCTGTGCACTCGTTCTTGCATCCTTCCGTGCATGCCCCTGCCGTCCTCTCTACTGGCTGCCATGGGTGTGCGCCCACACCCTGTCTGTGCCGCCAGACGAACGTCCCTCCCTCCCTCCCTCCCTCCCTCCCTCCCTCCCTCCCTCCCTCCTCACCCGCGCCGTCCGCCCCTCAGGTGCGGGGCCCAGATGCAGCGAATCTGGCGGGCACGCGCGAGGCGCAGAGGGACATCTGGGAGGCGCAGTTCCCAGCGTCGTGTGCGGGGCGGCGCCTGGTGCTCGTGCCGTGGCTGAACGTGGCGTCGTTTGGGCTGGGCGCGCAGCTGCACGTGGTGAGCGCCATCCTGGCGGCGGCGCTGCAGCACAACCGCACGCTCGTCATGCTGCCGCACTCCATGGGGCACGCCGACCACAGCGACTGCCAAGGTCAGGGCTGCTGGATGGGGGCTTGAGGGATTCTCAAGGCAGAGGCATAGGGAGGAAAGGGTGGGGTGGCGGGGAATGAGTGGAGGCCGCAAATGCTTTGCCACCACACCTGTGCCTGCAAGCTAGTTGAGGGTTTGAATGGAGGTGCGGAGGAGCATGTCTTGTGGTGTCCGATCCCGCACCGCCATGTGTTCTCACCCATGCACCAAGCCACCCTGCTGCCCCTCGTTTCCGCGCCCCCGTCAGCCGTGGGAGCGCGGGGCTCGCTGCAGTGCTATTTCTTCCCCATGGTGTCGCCTGAATGCGAGGCGGCCGCCGTGGCGGCGTACCACAGCGGCGCCATGGTGAAGTGCGACAACGCGTCCGTGATCGCGTCACACGCGCCTGTTGTGTTTGGGTGCGGGCCCAAGCTGGGCCAGGACTCCACTATCGCTAGGTGGGCGCTCGTGCCCTCTGCCTCTGCCGCATGTGCCTCACTGCTGCATTGGCTGTGCGTGACTTGTGCCATGGCCGTGCGTGCCTCTGTTGCTTGTGTTCACACCCTTGACCACTGTGCCTGCAATGCCACGGAGTGCATGCAAGCGTACCGAGTTGACCGCACTCTCTCCTCCTTGTCTCCCACGCTCCGATGCCAAGCCTCGCCACCTCTGCCGTTGCTGTCATGCAGCTTTCGCGCTATTGTTGCGCACCTTCTTTGCATGTCTCGTTGTCCCTGTCCTTCCTGCTGCCATCCACTTGTCCCTCTCTGCACGCCTGTTGTTGCGCGTGGTGTGAGCAGCCGGTGGGGTGAGGCGTTCAAGGAGCGGCCACTGCTGCAGGAGGTGGAGGGCGCCATGTACGCACGCATCGACGACAAGATCCGCAAGGTCCCCTCCCTCGCTCTCGCTCATACGCCATGTGCCATGTGCCATACGCCATGTGCCATGTGCCATACGCCATGTGCCATGTGCCATACGCCATGTGCCATGTGCCATGTGCCATGTGCCATGTGCCCATCCATTCAGCATCCACAGAAATCTCGGTTCACCAGTTCATGTCCCAGCATCCCCGCTGACCACTTCCCTTCTCTCAATCGAGCCTTCTTCGTCCCTCTTCTCCCCACCACTTCTCCCTTTTGACCCTGCCCGCGCCATTCCCCGCCCTGCACCACTGTGGGCGGGCGCAGAAGCACTGGTGGCGCGCGCAGTCCATGCGCTTCATGCTGCGCTGGCCCTCGCGCCACCTCTGCCACATGGTCAACCGCCAGCGCCACGCGGCCTTCGGCATGCATGTCGCAGCACAGCTCGCAGCGGCCGCCTCGCATCAGGCAGCCCTGCTGTCCACACTCCTCTCCCTCAACCTCCACACTCAACCGCCTCACGCCGCCTCTCCTTCCTCCACCCCTCTCCCTCCTCCCACTTCCCCCCCCGCCATCCCACCTGTGCCCACGGCCTTCCCCAGTGTGGTGCTCCCCTCTGCCCTTGACTCGCATGCGTGGCCGCTCATGGGGTACGACGGCTGTGACGACGCCACCGCTGCCACCCTTGCCACCGCTGCCACTGCTGCCACTGCTGCCACCGCCACGCTTGCCGCCCCACTCGCCCCTGACCCCACAACTGCCGTGCCTGCGCCCAGCCCTGCGCCCAGCCCTGCGCCCAGCCCTGCGGCAGCACCTGGCAACGCCCCTCCCGCACCTCCTGAGCACTGGAGTGCAGCGGAGGCGGCCGTGCTGGTGGGAGGGCCCGTGTACTTGCCGCGGCCCGTGGTGAGCATGCACGTGCGGCAGGGCGACAAGGCGAAGGAGATGCGGCTCTTCTCCTTCTTCACCTTCATGCACCAAGCCAACCGCCTGCGCCGCCTCGACCCCAACCTCAGCACCGTGTGGCTCAGCACCGAGATGCAGGTGCGTGCCCCGCATGGCAGCGCCACACATCACATGGGCTCGGTGCCACATGCAGAGGGTCACTCAGCGGATGGTTCACTCACGTTGCCCAACATGCTCCACCATTTCTGCTCTTCAAATGGCCTCCGTTTTTTGCATGATTGCATCCCTGATGTCACTGCTGCAGAGTGTGGTGGAGCAGACGGCACTCTTCCCCGACTGGACCTTCTACTACTCGCACCTGCCGCGCCAGGGTGCACGGCAGGCCATGGCCAACTATTCCACTGCCACCGGCCTTGCCATGGTGGTGGGCGCTAGCTTTGCCAACCTGCTCATAGCAGCTGAGTGTGACTACTTCGTTGGGACTCTGGGGTCCAACTGGAACCGCCTCATCAACGAGCTCAAGTCCACTAGTGGCCGCCTCTTTGCCGGCTATGTGTCACTCAATTTCGGAGAATGGTAGCACCTCCATTCGAGTTCGCTCTTCATGCAAATGCGTCAATGGTAAATAAGAAAAGCGACTTCAACGGATGTATGTTCCATGCGTTCCTAGACGGGCTGACATGGTAACCGGGTTGTAACACATAGGCAGGTTGCCTTGAATCCGTTTCCAGCTCGGGTGCACATTTCGTGTCATCAAGCTGCTTGGCGAGGGCCAGCACTGTCAGCAGCCAGTCAGCTGGGCAGCGCGCAGCATCAGCGTGCGGCCACCGGCCATGGAGGTCTCACGAGCCATCGCGTCCCTCGGCGGTCCGCTGCCTCTCGCGCCGCTGCACCGGCGGGCAGCGCCGCTGCACCGGCGGGCAGCGCCGAGTGCTGCGGACCGTAGAAGTAGCGGGTGAGTTGGCATGTGCGGCGCGAGCAGGGCGTGAATGGCGGCGGCGCAGAGCGGAGACACACTCGCAGGGCGTTGCTGCGCCAGCGCACGTGGCGCGGCCGTTCGTTCTCTTCACCTCGCTCCTCCTCTCCTGCTTCGATCGCCCTCGCTTGTTGTTCCCCATCCATACGTCCCTCCTCCTCCCCCACCTTCCCCGCGCACGTGTCTCCCTCCCTCTCGCCCTGCCACTGCATCTGCCTTTCCTCTCCGCCTCGCATCGCGCCATCCCCATGCCTCCCTCTCACCGCTCGCCCACCCTCCGCCCCGCTCCGTCTCGCTCTTCCTCGCTCTGATTCCCCTTCCCCCTCCTTCCCCCTCCCCTCCTTCCCCCTCCCCTCCTTCCCCCTCCCCTCCTTCCCCCTCCCCTCCTTCCCCGTCCCCTCCTTCCCCCTCCCCTCCTTCCCCCTCCTTTCCTTCCCCCTCCTTCCCCCTCCTTCCCCTTCCCTCCACTTCCCTCCCGCCCAACCTCCAGCCGTCCGTCTCTTCCCCCTCGCCCTCTCCGCACCTCCCTCTCCGCCTCGCCCTTGCGCCTGCCTGCTCGCCCCACCTGCGCCCACCACGAGGGGCCGTGCTGCGCCTCAGGGCCAAGGGGGAGCAGAGGGGCGCAGCCAGGGAGAGAGGGGCAGTGGGGGCCATGGCAGGGGGAGGTGGAGAGGGTTTCCGCAAGGGGAGGGAGGCGAGGCGTGGTGGCGAGGGCGGCGGGTGGTGGGGGTGGCGATGAGGAGTTGGGAGCGGGGCAGAGTGGCGATGGATTGGATGCGGTGCTGTCCAAGGCCGTGTGGGCTGGCTTCGGCATCTACATGCTCTGGCTCTTCGTGCTGCCGTACGCCCCTGTGAGCTTCTCTCTGCTGCGCTGCCGAGCACTGCCATATGCTGCTCTCCTTGCCCCATCACCTCTCTCCTCTCCTCTGCTCCTCACTCTCTGCTTCGCTCGCTCCACACGTCCCTGTTGTCTAACCTGCAGCCCTCACGCACGGGCTGCTTATGTGTGTGTGGCAGGGAGACCCCGCGTGGAGCATCAGCGAGGCGACTGTGCAGGAGGTGAAGGACCTCTCGCTCAACTTCTTCTACGTGCTGCCCGCCCTCAACGCCGGTGAGCTGCCAGTGCAGGTGAGCTGCCAATGCGGGTGAGCTGCCAGTGCAGGTGAGCTGCCAAGCCGATGCGGGTGAGCTGCCAGTGCAGGTGAGCTGCCAATGCAAGTGAGCTGTCAGTGCGGGTGAGCTGCCAGTTCGGATGAGCTGCCAGTGCGGGTGAGTAGACATGGGCATGAGCCGAGCCTGGCTCGGCTCGGCTCGTTTGGGGTCGAGCCGAGCCGGCTCGCCGGTCGAGCCGGCTCGGCTCGCATCGAGCCGGGACCTCAAAATCCCCGGCTCGGCTCGGCTCGTCAGGGGGGCTTGTGTAACCTCTCAAGAAGGCCCACTGTTTTTGGGGACTCTAGTCCAGGGGATGTGCCAGATTGTGATTGTGAACAACTGCTGCTCTGTTTGGGGCGCCAGTACAAGTCTAGGTGAGCTGAAAAGTCACAATAATTTAATTCAGTACCATGGAATGGAAGTTAAGAGTGCCCCTTTGCCAACAGCATGTTCTCAGCGCAACCAGACGCAAGCTAGCAACCACCCGACCACATGGTTTAGCACGCAGCCTACAGCTCCTCCACCCCGAGCTTCTCCGTCTCTTTGATCCACCCTGACTTTAACAGGGAGACACCAGGGTGCGTGCGAGTCCATGACTTGAGTGTCATAGTGGCTCGCACGCTCTCCCCAGACAACCTCTGCCTATGGCGGGTGATCACATTTCGGCTCTGACTGAAAACACGCTCGCTAGCTGCCGATGTTGCTGGTATGGCTAGGTAATCCCTGGCCATAGCCTGCAACACCGGCATATCAGACCTCTCGCGCCAGTACGCCAAGGGGCAACCGTCATGCAACTCCCCCTCAATGTAACGATCCACCTCATCCCGCACCGTGGCCCCCCGTCGTGCGGAGCGCGCTAACAGCTTGGCGTGGAGAGACTGGCTCAAGCCACCCCGCACCGGTACACCACTAGCATCTCCACCCTCAACCCCCCCCCCCGCCAAGCCCCCCCCCCCTCTGCCCCCGTCCTGTTGCTGTGCCGCCTGCTTCAGCCGCTTACTGTACTCAGCAAAGCGAGCCCGTACAAGGGTCAGCACCTCTGACGGCTTGAAGCTCGCCACAGGCCTGCCCTGCTGCTCCTCCTCCCCCTCCTCCCCCTCTCCCCCCTCCTCATCCTCCTCCTCCTCCTCGTCCTCCTCGTCCTCCCCCTCTGCGCCCTTCTCTGAACCCATCTCCTCCTCCCCCCTCCCCGCACCAGCGGCACGCACAACTAGCGCGCGTGAAGACCCGGCTAGTTCGCTTTCCACGCCCACCCCGTTTGCCCCCTCTCCCTCTCCCCCAGAGCGGGTGTCCGTCCCTCCATCCACCTCGAAGAACACCAGCCTCATGCCGGGGTTCAGAAACGTCGCCACCACGAGCTCATCGCTGCTGCTGCAATAGTACCGTTCCAGCACGGGGAAGGCGACGCCAACGAGCTGACGGCCGATGAGGCGGGGCGATGGCCATGCCTGCAAGGTGTCCATCAGTTCGTTGAACTGTGGCACAACAGCAGATGATGTGGGGTAGGAAGAGCCCTCGGCCGCCACCGTGATGGAACTGAACGGTGCCAGGAACTCCGCCAGGACATCCAGCGTGTCCCAGTGCGCGTCGGTCAGGCGCAACGCGACGTACTTCGCGCGCTCTTCAGCCGTCTCTCCCTGGGAAGTGAGCAGGGGTGCATGGGGGGGGGGGGGGGGGTTGTGGGGATACCATGGGTGTGGCGGCATGGAAGGAAGTGTCACACAAGGGGTGCGTAGGAGCATCCGTGCACGCAATGGAAGCAGTGGAGTGGGCTTTTGTAAAGAGGGTACCTGCTCCACTGCGAAGTGCGCAGTGAGGGATCGGCGGAGCCTTAATGCACGCGCGACCATCTCGTGCGTGCTGCCCCAGCGAACCTCGCTGTCCTGCACCAGGCGGAGGACCGTCCCTTTGAGGACGGGGTCGGACCGCTGCTGCGCTTCAAATTCGCGCGTGCGCCTCTCACTCCATCCCACAAAGGTGGCGATGTCGCGTAGGAGCTTCAGCGGCACCCTCACCGCTGGCAGCTTCAGCGCACGCTGGACTGCAAGGTTCAGGATGTGCGCCAGGCAGCTGCATGTTCCAAGGCGCACAGAGGGGGGGGGAGAGAGGGGAGGGAAATCCTTAAGGACCCTCCATGCCATTGAGAGGGGAGGTGTGGATCGTCTGAACAGCAGCACACTATGTGGACAAGACAAGGGCTGCAAGCTCGCCACGCACTCACCGGAAGTGCATGCCATCTGCGAGGAGAGGCGTGGCCAACGCATGACAACCAAGACCGGCGAGGCGACGCATGGCGGCTGTGTTGCTGCTGGCGTTATCCGTCGTCACCCCCATGCAAAACCCCACGAGCTCCCACTCCCTGATGACTCGCGCGAAGACGTCTGCAATCAGCCGCCCTGTGTGCCGCGCTCCCAGCTCCATAAACTCCAGTGTACACTGGCGCAGCTGAAAATCCCTGCTAATGAAGTGCGCCGTCACTGTCATGTACCCCCGCCTGTTACCCCCGGTCCATATGTCCGTTGTGAAAGAGACACGCCCGCTCCCGGAACCCGCCCCAAACTCCGACTTAACCACTGCCCGTGCCGCCTCAGAGTAGAAGCGGAGGTCCCTGGAAACGGTGGTCCGGTCGGGTATGGGGATTGCGTCACCGCATTGGGGGTTGCATACAGCCAAGAGGCGGCGGAACTGCCAAAAGGAAACGAGAGGGGGGGTGTGGGGTTTGGGGGTGTTTAGTGCCATGCGGGGGGGGGGGGGGAGGAGGTGGTGGTGGGGCGGGTGGTTCTTTTGGTGGGGCAGATCCAGTAGGTTATAAGGGGGGGGGGGAGTTGGGTTACACAATGACCACAGGCTAAGGGAAGGGTGGGGGGGGGGGGGCTGGTGGGGTGGCTCGCTTACCGCGGGGTCCTCTACGATGCGAAAGGAGCTGTCGGTGCTGGCGATGAACTCGACGATCGCCTGACGCAAACTCGGCTCCGACACACGTGGGCCAAGGAACCGGTCCATCGTGGGCTGCCTCGCGTCCGCCGCTGCCGGGGACAGGGACGGGATGGTGGCGCCGGGGGGGGGGTGCGGCCAGGTCTTGGACCACTCGTTGGGCGCCTTCCCATCAGGGACATGTGGGTACTCCCCCATCGGAAATGACTCTCCTGGCTCAAGACCCTCGACCACGCGCCGCTGCCATATGTCCCAGTGTGGGCGATGGTGTCTCGCCATATGTTTGGCACCCGTGCTGGTCTGGCTGTCCTTGAAGCCCATCGGCTTCTCGCACATCTTGCACACTCGCTTTCTCTCGCTCCCCAAGAAACACTCTGCCACACGCTTGTTGCTCCTCTTTGCTCCAACCTTACGGTTCTTTTTCTGTCTTTTCCTTCCCCCCTCCTGCTCAACGCCTGGGTCCACATCCTCAGCCCCATCCGCACGCCCTCCCCTGCCTTGACACCCGACGGACGGAGCAGCGCGCTCCCCCCCCTCCTCCCCGCCCCTCCTCCCCCCCTTTGCGCCTGTCCCTGGCCGTGGCCCAACCCCACTCCCTTCCTGACGCTGCCTCTTCCCCCTGGCGCTCTCCCCCCCCTACTCCCACCCGTTCCCTTGTTGGACCGACAATCCCCCTCCCCCTCCTCCTCCTCCTCCTCCTCCATCTCGAGCTCATCCTCCTCCTCCTCCTCTTCCTCCTCCTCATACTCGCTGCCGCTGGATTTTCCGCTCTCCCGCTCCTCCGACTCGCTCCCATCCCTCTCATCGCCACCGCTCTCCCGGCTGCGGCCCCGTTGTGCGCGCTTGAACCTCCTCCCCTCCCCCTGGGCTCTCCCCCACCCTCCCCCTCGTCCCATCCCCTGCCGAGAGAGGAGGAAATCTGTCCACTCCTCAGGCATGTGGGGCATGGCTCCACCTCCATCGGTCTCATTCGCTCTCGAACTCACACCCCCCTGGTCCCCCAACGCCTCATCTGTGCCCGCTATACGATCCCTCCCCGGCCCCCCTTGCCTAGCCGCCGTTGCCTTGGTCTTTGCCATGTGCAATGCAAGTTCGCGCACCCCCAAATGCGTGCGCTTAACCTAATCAAGCGTTACCAAGCATGCGCATACCACGAGCCAAGGCCTTGGTGGCGCGCCTAGGGCTGTCGCGCATACCACGAGCCAAGGCCTTGGTGGCGCGCCTAGGGCTGTCGCGCATACCACCAGCCAAGGCCTTGGTGGCGCGCCTAGGGCTGTCGCGCATACCACCAGCCAAGGCCTCGGTGGCGCGCCTAGGGCTGTTGCGCATACCACAAGCCAAGGCCTCGGTGGCGCGCCTAGGGCTGTCGCGCCAAGGCCTCGGTGGCTCTCATTATAAATAGTAGTTCCTACGTCTTTAAATAATAAAACAACGTGCTGCAAGTTTGGTTCTGGCTGAGGGCGAAAGACTAGGGCGATAGGCTAGGGCGTTATGGTGAGTGAGATTAGGGTTGGTTGACGAAATGAGTTTGGGGGGGGGAGTTTATCGATTTGAATTTTGACTGTCGCGAAACCCCCCCTTACCCGAACCGCGAGCCAGCTGGCTCGAATTCGAGCCATTTCGAGCCGGCTCGACTCCGGCTCGCCTGGTGTCACCTGCGCGAGCCGAGCCGAGCCGCCGGCTCGAGTCGAGCCGAGCCGGCTCGGCTCGCCTCGAGCCGGGCACCAAAAAAAAAGGCTCGGCTCGCCTTAAAGGCGAGCCGAGCCGAGCCGAGCCAGGTGTGGCTCGGCTTGTGCCCATGTCTACGGGTGAGCTGCCAGTTCGGGTGAGCTGCCAGTGCGGGTGAGGCGGGTGAGCTGCCGCTCATGCGAAGCTCATTCAGATTGATGGTATCGAGCCTCCCCTCAACATGGCCATTGTTCCCCCTTGCGCCTTAGCCATTCCTCATTCTTTCCTTCCCTTGCTCCTCTCGTCCTGCTTTGTCCAATCCCCGTGCCCTGCATCCCTGCAGCGGGCATTCACGTGCTGGAGGCACCGCAGCTGCACCCTGTCAGTGCTCCTCGCTCCCCTCGCCGCCCTTCTCCCATCTGCTCCTCCATCACTCCCCTCACTGCCTCACCCTCATTTTCTCTTCGCCCCCCACCCCCTTCCCACTTGTCTCTTTCCCCCCGCCGGCCCCCACTCCCCTTTCCTCCCTCCCTCCCTCTTTCTCCCTCTCTTGCTCTCTCTTTCTGCCTCGTGCTTTCAGCAAGCATGGTGCGCATCCATGCACCACTTACAATCTATGGCAGCAGAGTCTTGGACTGCCCTTTCTTCCATTACCTTGTCTTCTCCCCGTCCTCTCCTCTGACACCTTGCGTGCTTGTCCTCTACTCCTAATGTCTTTCGTGCATCTTTCCCCCGTCTCTTCCCCGTGTCTCCCCAACGTCCATGCGCCCAGGTGGCGGAGGCTCTCTTCAACACAGTGAATGCGTGGTCACTGCTCTTCGGCCCGCTGCTGCTTGCTGACCCCAAGGGCAACCGGGTGGGCCCAAAGCTGCCCGCGCTCTGGCTGGGTCAGATGTTCCTCACCAATGGTGGGTGGGAGAGGGGAGGGGAGGGGGGGGGTGGGGAAGAGGGAGGAGGGGGGGAAAGGGGGAGGGGGGGGGGAAAGGGGGAGGGGGGGGGAAGGGGGAGGGGGGGGGGAGGAGAGGAATCCACCACCGTGCTGTCTCTTGGTCATTCAAAGGGCGTCCAATCATAGCCATTCGTACCTCCCTCGTATCATTTCTCCCTTTCCTCCCCCCCCCTCCCCATCATCCTCTCTCCCCCCGCAGTCTTCCTCATCCCCATCATGGCTCTCCGCCTGCGCCCATCCTCCCCCTCCGACGCCGCACCTCCTCAGCCTGCCGCCCTGGCGTCCTTTCTCACCCAGTCCCCTCTCCCCATCGCCCTCGTCTCCTCCTCCGTCGCCCTCACCTCGCTCCTCTGGGCGGCCTTTGCCCGGCCCGACTTCGCCCCTCTCGACCTATCCTCGCGCCTGGCGTTCCTGTCGGATTATCTGGCCACCAACCGCCTGGCATACGCGTTTGCATGGGACCTGCTGCTCTACTCGCTCTTCCAGCCCTGGATCATGGGCGACTGCCTCGCAGCCCTGCGCCGCTCGCTGCCGCCACAGGCACCAGGCGCGGGTGGGTCGTCTGGGGATGAGGGTCTGCTGGCAGCCCTGCAGTGGGTGCGGTTCGTGCCGCTGTTTGGGCTCGCTGCGTTTCTCTGCGCTCTGCCGAGGCTGAGAGCTGCTCGTGGGCCTAAGGGGCGCGAGTGAGAGTGGAGCGGGGAGTACTTGGCACGCACAGGGAGTGGCTGGCGGGAGGCGATGCTGAAGAGGTGGCAGTGCGAGCAAGGCAGTGATGTGTTACTACTTGATGGGAATCAGGGACATAGCGCCATGCCCCTCAAGGGCAGCGCACCCAAGCCTGCCCATTTCCAGCTTAGAAGAGGCGGGTTACCACAGGAAGACCTACAATAGCTGCATTTCTGCACCACCACATTGGTGGTAGTACGCCTGATAGATGCACATGCATGCATGAGCATGTTTCCTAGCGCATCCCAGCCCAGGATTCCTGTATGACATGGTGCTATGAACACAAGCATGAAAATCAAACATGTGTTGAGAAAAACGGTTCGTGTGGCCTGCGATGTGCCTGCTTGCAAAGCTGCTCGTCTCACATGAACATACCGGTACGGCAATTTCGAGTACTGGTCACTAGGCAAGCACACCAGCGGTAGGGGCCGCGTGCTGTGGAGGCGGCACCAGCAACACCCATGGGAAGCGGTGTCACCGTGCCACTCTCCAGCAGCTGCTGCGGCATGAGAAGGCCCGCTTGCTGCTCGTGGCTGCGCCTCGGAAGGGAAGGCAGACTCGTGTGAGCGCAGGACAGGTCAGGAGGACCCCTTGTCCCCTCTGCTCCGCCGTCCCTTCCTCGGCACGCGCCGTGAGAGCAAGGGTGGTTCAGGCAGGCTCCGAGCCCGCGGGCCTTGAGGAGACCGCCGTCATAACGCCCTCTCTGCCTCACACCCCTTTGCTGCACCGCCCCCCTTACAGGAGAGACCCACAGCTGGGATCTCAACCTGAGGGGACGAGGCAAGCCCACCAGTGTGCTGCACTCCCGCTGCGTCTCCCACTACCCCGCTGCCACCCTCTCCCGCTCGCTGCTCCTACAAGCGCACACTGTGTGCGGCAGTCATGTGCGCACACGATGTGCAGAGGCAGACAGCCGAGACAAGAGAGTGCGGCCGTGCAGGGGAGAGTGCAGCGGGCGCTTAGCCTCAGCAGCCGGTCTTGTAGGGGCTCTGGCCGGAGCGGCGGGTGACGCGCAGCAAGGTGAACTCCTCGCTCATGGTGGGATGGATGCCCACCGTCGCATCAAAGTCCGCCTTGCACGCTCCCATGCGCATCGCCACTGCGTAGCCCTGCCATACACGCAGGGGGGGGGAGCGAGGCACGCAAGGGAATGGGGTGAGAGGGCACTGGTGAGACGAGGCTGCTATTGGCATGTGAGAGTGTGAGGCTGTGTGAGCTGTCGCACGGAAGGCAGTGCAGGTGGAAAGCAGCCAGTGGCCACTCAGTTGCGATCATGCCAGTGGGAGCACAGGCAACAATTCTCACATTTCATTCTTCCCCTCTGCACAATTCTGCCGATACCCACTACCCTTCCTCACTGTCAGTTTCCCCCACCACTCTCCCTCCCTTCCCCCTTCCCCCTTTCCCCCATGGCACCTGCGTGATTTCCCCTGCGTTGGGTCCCACCACGTGCAGCCCCAGCACGCGGTCGCTGTCCAGCTTGTTGCACACCAGCTGACATACCCAGCGCCACACAGCGGGTGGGGGATTGGAGAGATGAGTGGTGGAGGGGAGGGAAGGTGAGCAAAGGAAGAGGAGCAGGAAGGAAGCATGGGATGGGGGAGCATTGATACACGCGAAACGAAGAGGGAACCATCAGGTGGCTTCCTTCAGCTTGATTGAAACAAGCCTGCCCCTAACGCCCTCCCACATCACATGGCCATTGATCCATATCCTGCCCTCCCACATCCCCTCCCCCCGTCCCTCTCCCAACAGCAGGTGCCGCGCAAAGCTGCCCCACCCCCCACCTTGGCGTAGCACACGTTGTCCTCTCTGTGCGACACGCCGTTGGCCTCCTCGTGGTTCACCTGCCACTCCAGCGGCTTGAAGTACGAGTGGTACACCTGCCACCATGCCGCGGGTTGCATGGCGTGGCATGGCATGCAGAGGGCTAACGGTGAGGATTCAATGTGATGTAAGGAATTGGCGGATGGATTGAAGACTGGACGGAAGAGAATAGGCGAGGCAGGGGTGCATGAGAGCACATAACTGTGAGAGCAGGTGAGACTGGTGGAAACCGGCACTTGGTGTGCGGCGGACAGAGTGGGTCGTCAGAAAAGGCAGCACGGCGTCTCATGGCACGGCGTCTCATGGTGTCGCTTGCAACACGATGACGTGCGACACACAGAGGGATGGCCACATGGGATGCAGCATGGCAAGCAATGTGTCGTGGATTGGATTGGATTTGATTGGATTGGATTGGATTGGATTGGAAGCAGCCAGACAGCATGGCAGGGTGCAGTGACCTCGATGTTGTCGGGGCCGTATGTGGCGATGGCGAGCTCCTCCGCCATGCCGATGCACCCGTACTCCAATGGCGTGAACACCGTCGTCGGCACCTGGGGGGCACATGCATGGCATGGCACGCAGCACACACACACACACGCAAGCATGGACACACACATGCACGCAGCAGGACATGCACAACTTGCACAGCGTGGAGGCACATGCAGGTATTAGTCCATACACGGGCACGCCTGGGCAGACAAGCAGCAGACAGCGTGCTGTTGATGGTGGAGGCTGCACGGTTCCTGTCACATGCACACTGCCACCTCCCCACCACTCACGACCTCACCAACCCAACCACTGCATTCCACCCCAAGTGCCTAGCAGCCCTCCACCTCATTTTCACTCAACATCCCCACCCTGCCGCATGCACAAACACCCCTCTCCCCCAAACACCCACCCCCCCACAACCCCTCCCTCCCCCCCCCACCAGGTTATAGTCCATGCGCTGAGTGCCGCCCGCATAGAGTCGCTGCGCCAGCAGCTGGCCGGCCTTGATGGCCACAGGGGTGAGCTCCTGCCGCGTGTCCAGCACGTCGCCTATGGCGTAGATGTGCGGCGCCGACGTCTGACGGCGCACACACGCACAGGGACGGGGCATGCACAGCCACACATGGACATGCAGGGGCGGGGGAAGGGGCAGGAAGAAGAGCGGGAGGGGCAAAGTAAGAGCGAGAGGCAGGCACGCCGTGGGCGTGCGTTGATCGATAGCCATGGTAAAGGAGAGACGGCTGGCACGCGACGCACAGGCAGACCACAAGCGCGTTCAAGGCAGCACCTCCACCCACTTCAACGCCTTTCCCCACACTGCTTCTATCCCCGGCGGCTCCCGCTCTCCCTCACCCTCCCACCCGCCTCCCCTTCGCCCTCCAGCGTCTCCTCAGCGCCATGGTGGCACGCATGGCATGGCATGGCACGGCATGGCACGGCATGGCATGGCATGGCAAGGCATGGCACGGCATGGCATGGCATGGCATGGCACAGCATGGCATGGCATGGCATGGCACGGCATGGCATGGCATGGCATGGCATGGCATGGCACGGCACGGCATGGCATGGCACGGCACGGCATGGCATGGCATGGCATGGCACAGCACGGCATGGCATGGAATGGCATGGCATAGCATGGCACGGCATGGCATGGCATGGCATGGCATGGCACGGCATGGCATGGCATGGCATGGCACGGCATGGCATGGCATGACACGGCATGGCATGGGATGGCATGGCATCCCCTCACCTGCTCGTCCGGTGCTATGATCTTGCCGTTGAGCGGATTCACGTCCACGCCCGCTGCTGGCAGGTTCTGACGGGCACGTGTAGGGCACGGGAGAGAGCGGCGGAACGGACGAAAGAGGGGGCGAGGGGAAGGAGAGGAAAAACGGAAGGCATAGGGGAGCGAGGCAGGAGAGTGAGACAAGGCACAGGGGGAGGGGCGGGGGCGGGGGGTGGAAGAGACAGGGTGAAGGAGATGGAGAAAAGGGAAACGTGGGATGTTCTTAGGGAAAGGCAACGTGGCAAGGACGAATAAAGGAGAGCGCAACAGATAAGTCAAGTGAGGGGAGCGAGGACCGGGGTGGTGGGTGGGCGGCGCACCAGGTCCTCTGTCTGCGCATCCCGGCCAACAGCAATGATGACCGTGTCAAACTCCTCCCTGCCCTCCGCACCTGTCTCCATGCGCTTGAACGACACCGCCACCTGCCACACCACACAGAGAGGGGGGGGGAGGGGGGGAGAGGAGCAGGGAAGGGCGAGAGGGCCGGCAGGTGAGGGCTGCAGAAAGGAAAACAAAGGAGGTGGCATGGGGCGTGATGAGGGGGTTATGGAAGGAAAGAGAGAGGACAAGGAATGACAGCAGGATCAAGGCACTATCGCAACTCGCCTTCAAAGCTACTCCTGCCTCCGCTTCCCAGCCCCCAACCATCTCACATCTTCACTCCCTGCAAGGCCAACCCACCCTGCCATTCCCCCCACCCTGCCATGCGCCCACCTCTGCCATGCACGCACCTCTGCCATGCACGCACCTCTGCCATGCACGCACCTCTGCCATGCACGCACCTCTGCCATGCACGCACCTCTGCCATGCACGCACCTCTGCCATGCACGCACCTCTGCCATGCACGCACCTCTGCCATGCACGCACCTCTGCCATGCACGCACCTCTGCCATGCACGCACCTCTGCCATGCACGCACCTCTGCCATGCGCGCACCTTGCCGTCAGCAGTGCGGTCGAAGCGTGTGGGCACGGCGGGGCGAATGAAGGTGACGCCGTGGCGCTCCATGTACAGCCCTATGTGCTCCGCCACCTCCTGCCGCCCGGGGGGGGGGGGGGAACGTGGGGGGAGAGGGGTGGGTGGAGGAGGAAGAGCAAGAGAAGGTGAGGAGCAGCGGGACAAGGGAGAAAGGAGGAGGTGGGGGTGGATGGCCTGAGCATGGCACCAGACGCACGGCATGCCCATTCCACACACCCACGCCCACACCCATATGACACATTCCCCTCTCCTTCCCTCCCACCACAACAAGTACAACCGCAGGTGAGAGGCACCACTAGCAGCAGCCCTAGCAGCTGTAGCAGCAGCGCAGCAGCGGCGACCTGGTCGAAGCCGCGGAGCAGGATGGAGCGCGGCATGACGGACACGGGGAAGCCCAGCCCCGCCAGGAAGCCCGCCGTCTCCAGCGAGATGTAGCTGGCGCCCACGCACAGGGTCTTGCCGGGCGCATGCGGCAGCGAGAAGATGTCGTCACTGGCGGGGGGGGCACGAACGGGGGGGAGAGAGGGGGAGGGGAGAGGGGGGGCAGCATGAAGATGAGCAAGGGGTGGAGAAGGCACGGCAGGGTGTGCGGGCAAGCAACAGAGCCCTCAGTAAGCAGAGCCCCAATGAGCGGCATGCGCGCCCCTGCCCCGCACCTGGTGATGCAGAGCTCTTTGTCCCCCGGCACGCCCAGGTAGCGCGGCCGCCCGCCCACCGCAATCACAAAGCGCTGCGCCGTCATGCGCGACACCTGGGATTGGTTGGGCGTGGGGAGTTGGTTGCCTTGGCGGATGGCGTTACGACGGTGCGGTGCAATGCGACTCACACGGATGATCATGTGACCGTGACCGTGAAGGGCGTGTTAGGTGATGCCATGTGTGGTGGCGGGGAGAAAAGAGAAGCGACAGATGAGGTGCGAAAGGTGGGGCAAAGAGGGGGGGTTGTGTTGGGGGGGACATTGGCAAAAGAGAGAAAGTGAGGGCAAAAGATGGGGTGGGATAGGGGATGCTGGGAGCAGTGCTGTGGAGGAAGGGTGAGAGTAGTGGGAGACACAACGAGCCACCATCCCAAGCCAGCACATCCCTTTCCTCGCTTCCCCTCGGTTGGTTCACCCCACTCACACCCCCCAAGCACCCTTCCCCCTTCCTTTCTCCCTTCCCCTTCCGCCCCCCTCTCTCCCCAGATTCCCCCCACACACACCTGGCCAGCGCGCGTGGTGCATTCGAGTGTGTGCGCGTCCACAAAGCGCCCCATGGCGTTGACGTACGTGACCTTGCCGTCGCGCAGCGCCACGCGGTACCCCCAGTTCAGCGACCCGATGTGGTCCTGCACGCCTTGCACCAGCCGCGCCCTGCCGCCCCGGGGAAGGAGGAAGCGGAGGGGGGAGGGGGGGAAGGGGGAGAGGGGGGAGGGGGGAGAGGGGGAGGGGGGAGGGGGAGGGGGAGAGGGGGGGGGGGGGGGAGAGGGGGGAGGGGGGAGTTGACGAGGGGATGGCGCAGCTCGGGAGGTAGTGGCATGGGCGATGTGGTGGGATGGGATGGGACGCGGTGGAGGGGAGGAGGGAAGCGCCAGGGGAGGCATACACGAGTGGAGAAAGGGGGAGGGGAGGGGGGGAGGAAGGGAGCGGACGGGAGGGGGGCGAGGGGGTGAGAGAGAGTGGCGGTGAGGGCGATGGCGGAGGCGGGTGCGGTTACCAGTCGAAGTTGATGGCGGGCGGGAGGCCCCATCCGAATGCACGCGCGTCGGAGAAGGACTCGCCTAGCAGCGCCGCCTGGTGCATGAGCTTCTTGGGTATGCACCCCACGTTCACACACGTGCCTGCACACGCGCATGCACACGCGCATGCACACGCGCACGCACACGCGCACGCACACGCGCATGCACACACGCACATGCAGCATGAGCAGAACACGTTTTGGCAACGCATTGAGAGAAGAGCGCGCAAGTGTGAGACAAGGAACGGCGAGGGCGGGAGCAGCGGCATGAGGGAGGTGCGGAATGAGGGAGGTGCGGCATGAGGGAGGTGCGGCATGAGGGAGGTGCGGCATGAGGGAGGTGCGCGTGAGCGGTTCTTACCTCCGAGGCCCCACTGCGTGCCGATCGGCGTTGGCTTCACGAAGTCTAAGCATGCCACCTGCGCACAGCACACACACACGCGTACAGCACACACGCGCACACGCACAGACGCGTAGAGCACACGCCATGCACGGTCAGCCCCTGTCTGACAGGCGAAGGAGGAACCACACAAGGGAAAAACGCCAACGCGATACGCGATCCACGCGTGGGCCAAGGCGCAAGAGGAAGCGACGCCAGAGGCGCGAGGTGGCGGCGCGCACCTTCTTGCCGAGCTTCGCCGCCTCCTTGGAGCACGCGAGCCCGCCCGAGCCCCCCCCGATGACCACCAGGTCGTAATCGTACGCCGCCTCGCCGTCGAGCGCCGGCGGCGCATCTGCGGGTGGGGGTGCGGGGCGGGATGCGGATCAGCGGAGGAGCGGGGAAGACGGCGCGGATGGCTACAAGATGCGGTCCGCGGCAGGCGGGGACCGGGGAAGGGGGCACGCGATTAGTGTGAGACGCGCATCGAGGGCGCGCAAGGATCGACGAAGCGCATCCCTGGATGGAGAGGGAAGGGCGAGTCGCGAGCGGCAACGAATGACGAAAGGGAGGCGAGGGACTCGCCTTGCGCCGCCATGGCGGGAGGCGCAGCTGCTATGGAACGCGCGCCGTGCGGCGGAAACGGAGCGAGCGCGGCCCCACCCAACCGAGGCGCGAGGCCCGGAAGGATGCGGCTGATGCGACGCCACGCGGTGGCCGACGTGATGGCGGTCGTGATGGGACCGGTGATGGCGGCGGCGATGGCGGTGGTAGCAGTCTGGTGGTGGGCCGAGCAATGGAGACAGCTGCTGCCTCACATCACCGCCGTTGGTGAAAGGGGAATGAATTGCGACTACACCATCTTATCCGACATTATCGTATTCCGTGGAAGTAAAAGGGGGACATGGAGAATAATGTTGCTTGTGAACCCTACATAAAGATTATAATTTTTAAACAGACGCAGTGTTTTTCAAAATTGTGTATTGTGAAAGCGAAGCTGATTGTACTGAACCTTTTGGGCAATGTCGAAGCGCGCTACCCACCCTTCTCCAACTACAAACATGTGGGTTGGAGCTCATTTCCCTCCACCCATGTCTCTCATTTTTCAACGGCTCAGTCAACTTTTCCCGCTCTAGCCTTTTCTCCCGTTCAAGCTGGCTAAGACAAGGGCTGACGTTATCAGACTCTTTAGTATGATTATTCTGAAATTTCAAACCCTAATGTTGGCCAAACCTGAATTATCAGATTTCCCATTTTCCCAATCCTGATCACTTCAGAGTACGAATTTAATGTTAAATTACATATGTTAGTATATAATTGTAGGCTTGGTAGTGGTTACTGAACATTAATATAGAGGGTACAACTATCACATTGAAAATTCAATAATAGCTAGTGAGAGTGTACAGACAGATATACCTATGAATTGTACCCTCTAAGAGGCAACCCTATACAGTCTATACAAACATGACACATACACATGTTTGACACACCCCCTAGACTGCATAGGGGAACGTCCTAAACAAGCAGCTCAGGGCGGCACTACTAGTCCAACCTCTGAGACAAGGGTTTGAGAGACCAGTCAGAAGGAGTACAGACAAGGCAAGAACAAGAGCAGGGCGGCACTACTAGTCCAACCACTGGGAGAGGACACAAGTCCAGTCTGAGAATACATATAAAGGACAGTACAAAGTCAAGGTCCTAGCAAGTGAGAGGCTACAGGAACTAGACCAAGCTGTACACAGTGCCGCTGATGATCTTTAGGCGCAAGCGCCTTCGTAAAGATATCAGCCGTGTTGGCACCTGAGGCCAAGTGTACTACGCGAGCCTGACGTCGCTGCTGTAGCTCACGCAGGAGGAAGTACCGCAGCTGAATGTGCTTCGCTCTGCCCTCGAGTCGAGGCTCCTGACACAGGAGGATCATGGCCCTGTTGTCAGCGAACAGGACCGGGGCAGAGCTAGGCCGCTCACCTAAGTCAGTAAGCAAGAAGGTCAGCAACGGAGCTCCTGTGCCGCCATGGCACCAGCGTAGATCTCAGCCTCACAGCTGGACTGCGCCACAGACGAGGAGCGGGTAGCTCTCCACGAGACGGCACCTGAGCCAAGGCTGAAGCAGTAGCCCTGGGTAGACCTGAGCGTCTCAGCGTCGTCTGCCCACGAAGCGTCTGCGTGTCCAGTAAGGACCACTGGCCTGCGTCCTCCTAGCACTAACCCCATGCCCGATGTACTAGCAAGATAACGCAGAACCCTCTTAGCGGCAGACCAGTGCTGCGGTCGGTGTCTGCCTGTGGCCACAAAATGAGCCAGGATGCTGAGAGGGTATGCGAGATCTGGGCGAGTGCAAGTCATCAGGTACATGAGGCAACCCACCAGCTCTGCGTAGGGGCCGCTGGGCTCTACCAACTCCTCAGACACTGGAGCGGAGAGCCTGTGGTCTACAGGCAGAGGGGTGGGCTGTGCAGAGGAGAACTGAAGGCTGAACCTCTGAAGGACCTGGCGCACCAAGTGTGACTGAGTCAGGGTGATGGTGCGCGCAGCTCTGTCCCTGGAGATCTGCAAGCCAAGGTAACGGCGCAGTTCTCCAAGGTCAGTGCAGGTGTGTCTCTTCAGCAGCTCTGCCTTCACGGAGGCCAGTGCGTCCCTGTCTGCTGTGGCAAAGACCAGGTCGTCGACGTAAACAAGGATGTAGAACGGAGTCTGGCCAGCACGAACGAAGAGTGAAGGGTCTGCGGAAGACGGAAAGAACTGCAGGTCAGCAAGCGTAGCACGGAGAGTGTCGTGCCACTCACGAGGAGCCTGGCGCAGACCGTAGACGGGGCGCCGCAGGTTCCACTGGGTCCCAGGAGGGAAGGTGCCAGTAAAGCCCGGAGGGCGACGTAGGTAGACCTGCTCGTGTAGGCTGCCCTGAAGGAAGGCAGTGGAGAAGTCGAGGGAGTGAAGCTCGTAGTCACGCTGAGCAGCTAGGTGTAACAGAACCCGAAGAGTAGTCATCTTCGGGGTCGGAGCGAAGGTCTGGAAGAAGTCCACCCCCTCGCGCTGACTGAAGCCTCTAGCCACATAGCGCGCCTTGAACACAGGCGGCTCTCCAGGAGGGCGCTTCACCTTGAAGAGCCAGCGGCCATCGACTGCGTTCACCCCAGGCGGGGGAACTGCGTCGACGAAGGTGCCGGTGGATCTCCAAGATGCCATCTCCTGCTCCATGGCAGCTATCCACTGAGAGGCCCAGGGTCCCGAGGTCGCCTCAGCGTAAGTGCGAGGGGTCGGGATGTCGAAAGCGTCTGGGTCACCCTCAGGGACTAGCAGCATGGAACAGAGATGGGGAGCAGCCTCGGAGAGGAAAGCAAGCTCGAACTGGCGGTCCTCCAGGACGTCACTGCCAAGGGCAGAAGCACCCCTGACAGACGGAGGACAGGCAGGGTCAGAGACCAGAGCGGTGGCGTAGTCAAGGCGGCGGGTAGAGGCGAAGTCAGCGACCGCAGCGACAAGGGCGTCAAGGCTCGAAACTGGAACAGACGGGTCGGTAACAAGAGTGGCAAGCACCCGAGGAACAAGAGGACGGGCGGCACGAAGGTAATCAGACAGCGGGGGGGGTGCAACAACAAGGGAGGACGGAGGAGGCAACGGCAGAAGGGGAGGACGAGACGCGTGGGAACGAAGCAACATAGGGTGGGAGCGCAGGACAGGCGAGGCAGGACGAGCACGGAAGGGCCGGTGAGACCAGACGTGCGATGAAGGAGTCGGGTCAGGAGACAGAGGAGGGGACACAGGAGGAGAACGAGGGGGGAGACGGGCCGGGGACGAGTCCGGCGGAGGGAAAACAGGGCCGTAGACAGGAAGAGGAGGAGACGGCCGGGGAGGAACCGACGCAGGGTCGGGGGACGGAAGGCCGAGCAGGCGAAGGGCTGACATCGGCGGGGACTGCTGCTGCGGCGGCACAACGGCGACACCTGGACCGCAAGCTGCTCCTCGGCTAGCACCGGCACTCTCTACACCAGCACCCCCAGAGGGACCACCCCCAGGGCTACCGGGACGAGCACCCCCAGAGTCAGCGAACGGGTGCTGCGACGGCGGCGGCGGCGGCGGCGGCGGCAGCGACGGCTACAGCGGCGGCAGAGGCGGTGCAGGAGGGGACTGGGGAGGGGACGCCAGGGGAGGGGACACCAGGGGAGGGGCAGCTGGCGAGGACTGAGCAGGAGGGCCACCAGAGTCAGAAGACTCCTCAACCGGGTCCACCGACGGAAGGGGGGTGACGTGGGACACACCAGAGGGGGCGGGACGGGGAGGAGGAGGAGGAGGGGCAGGGACTACCGGGGAAGGAGGGACCAGGAACAGGGGGGGGGTAACCGGGGGACCACGGTGGGGGAAGCGACGGTAGTAGGAGACGGACTCGTCAAAGGTGACGTCACGAGAGTGAAAGAAGCGGTGAGACGTCGGGTGGTAAAAGTGCCAGTCAGACGCGTCAAGGGGAAAACCGAGGAAGACGCAGGAAAGGGTGCGGGCAGTGAGCTTGTCCGTGCCGGAGGCACGGACGTGAGCAAGGCAGCCCCAGACGTGGAACGCAGACGCGTCACCAGGAGACCCGGTCCAAAGTCGGGTCGGCGAAACCTGCGGCTGCTGAGGGTGCGGCCACAAGTTAAGCTGGTGAGAAGCGTAGCGCACAGCGAACGGCCACAGAAAATGGGGTGCACCGGCATGGATCATGGAGGTGCGAGCCACCTCCATGACCAAACCGATGCGTCGCTCAGCGACCCCATTCTGCTGTGGGGAGTCCGGTAGGGTGAACGTCTGGGTGATGCCCTCCGCACGACAAAAGCGACCAAGGACACCTGAGGCAAACTCGCCACCACGGTCGGAGTGAAGACGCAAGACAGGGAGACCGCGGTGGACACGCGCAGAGACAAGCCAGGGGATGAGGGCGCCAGGCACGTCGGCCTTGCGCTCCAGGGGAAAGACGGTGGTGTAACGAGTGAAGTCGTCGACAAGCACAAGGAAGTAGCGCTCTCGACGCGGCCCAGGGACCGGGGCGGGGCCCCAGACGTCCAGGTGCAGTGTCTGCAACGGCGCGGCGGTAGGGGGAAACGAGGAGGAGTGAGGGGCACGGCGAAGCCGACCCTCGACGCAAGGCGTGCAAGGTGGGGCTGGGGAGGAGGGAAACGCAGGGAGAGAACCTGGGAGACCAAGGACAAGACCGTGCTGGGACATATGACGCAGACGCGGGAGCGTAGGGTGACCTAGGCGGTGGTGCCAAAGGAGGGTCGGGTGAGTGAGAGACCGACAAGAGCAGGTAGCAGCAACCTGGGTGAGCGCTCCAGCCGGGGGGGTCACGGTGTCCAGAGTGAACAGGCCGAACACCGGGTCCCGGGGGAACGTGGACAGGGGGGCACCAGTGGCGGCCTCGGTACAGACAGCATACCGCTCGTGACCAGGGAACGTAGTGGTGACGCCAAGGTCTTGGAGGCAGCCGACACCAACTAGGTTCCTGGAGAACGAAGGGATATGCAGACCTGTAAGAGAGCCCGAAGGAACCGCCGGACAGGGAAGGATGGTGGAACTGCGGGCGACGACCGGACCGCCAGAGGGGTCAGCGAGAGAAACGGCAGCAGGGACGGGAAGTGGCGTCAGTGTGGTGGAGTCGCGGAAGAAACACCGAGAAGCGCCAGAGTCCAAGGTGAAGGAAAGCGAAGCAGAGGCGTCTGGCGACGGAACGACGGCGGAAGCACCAAGACTACACAAAGCAGGAGATCCTACGCCTGACGCAGCAGGGGAGGCTAAGCTAGGCACACCTACACTAGGCAACAGTGAGTAATAAGCTGGAAGCACAC